CTCCCGCCCTGGCTCCCGCCCTGGCTCCCGCCCTGGCTCCCGCCCTGGCTCCCGCCCTGGCTCCCGCCCTGGCTCCCGCCCTGGCTCCCGCCCTGACTGCGGGATAGATCGGAAGGATAGGCGTGTCGATAGAGCGTTACGCAAGGTGCGGAATGCCGTCCCGCCGGCGGTGCTGGCCGCCGCTGGCCGGGACGGGAGGCGCTTGACTCCCCGCGCCGCTCAGCTGATTTGTACGGCCTCATCTCGTCGGTTTTCTATTCTTCTCGTCCGTTACTTCTGCACGGGGATTGCTATTCTCTCTGCGGTCAGCTTTGTGTGCAGTTATTGTCTCTGCTTGATGAGCGGCAGGGCCGAGCCGGGGCCGAGCGCCAGGGGGTCGCCCCGCGAGCTCGCGGCCCGTCCCCGCGCTTTACTCGGATTTTCGTTGCGTAAAACTTGGTCGTTTGTTTGAGTCGTGGCTCCGGCGCGACACAGCCCGCAACGGCTCTGGGGCGGCTTGCTGTTTGTGTTGGCTTGATTAGAATTGCGGTCTGTCGCCGAACTTTGGCGGGAAGGGGGGGAGGGGGCTTGGTGGGGCGCGGCAAGTGTCATGTGAGGTGGAGGTGCGGTGTGATTCCCGCTGCGGTTGATGTCAGTCTGCGGGATGGATGGGATGGTGTGGTATGGCGCTTGATCACTTCAGTCTGCGCTTGCACTTCCCTGCTCCCTCCCGTCCAGCACCTCATTCCGCTGTTCCTCCAAATATATAGTATGACGCTTGCGATTTTCGTTCGTGGCCTGATCTGTTGGAAAGAGCTTTGCCATGTAATTAATTCAGATTTCCCTTCAACTTCATGGGCTTCAAGATGAGCAGGGTGGTCGGCTGGGCGCTGCTGTGAGGGTGACGCCGATTATCCGCCGGGCGGTGACGCGCCCAGTCGGACACGGGCGGCGCGCGAAGTAAAAGTCCCTCTGTTCCGTTCGTGCCCCGTGTTTCTCTTTCGCGCGCAGCGGACTGGGTGGCTCGCGACCCGCGACCCCGACGCGACCCGGTGGAGATCGATTCATTGGCGGGCCTCGTTCAAAATTTCATGACGCATCACATCCGCTCGACGGGCTCCGGCTCCGGCTGCCCCGCGCCGCAAACTCCGGGGGCTCCGCGCGACTTTGTTCCGCCGCCGATATGGGAGGGAGGGAGGGAGGCTTGCTTTTGGCGGTGTTTGTTTCGTGCCCTTGTTCCCGCGTTGGGCGTTTTTCCTGTTTTCCTGAGGAGTTTTTCTGAGTCCTGGGCGCCGTGTTGCGGTACGGTTGTTGTGGTCCCTCCCCTGTGTGGGTTGCTTTTGTTGAGTCGAGTAGTAGAAAGCTTGTTATTGCGGTGAGTTGCAAAAGCGAGTTTTATTCTTGCAACGGTCCACGTGTAATCATTGTTTTTGTTAAAACCTGAAAATGTGCTTCTTAGTCAATTCGTTTTGCATTATCGGGGCTTGACTCTCTACGAAGCACGTATACGTACGCCCGTTTCCTTAGATTCACCCGGCAAAGTGTGGGAGCTCGGCGCCTGCGAGACTTTGGGTAGGCCACCCACGCACTACACGCATGCACTGTAGGTACGATGTTGCCTACCTAACAGGCGCTATTAGAGCTCGCAGAGGCGAAACTCGGGTGGTTCGTAGCGGCGAATTACGGACGTACTTTTCCGATGATCCCTTATCCTTCCTTATCTCGTGATAGGCTACGGATCCGTCGGATGCTGCGATCTTACGGAACCGGAAATAAAGAGTACTTTTGGAAACAGCCAAAAACAGACCGTGGTGGTGTCGTGTGTAGGCTGCCCCCCC